ATGTGCAGATATGGTCATCTGCTTCTGTTTTTTGGGCATCTTCAGGGGTTATCTGTGGCCTTAATACTTAGATGGGTGTGTATTTTGGTGTTTTTTTGCTTTCTGTGCCCTAGCTGTGAAAAGCCCAAGGAGAAAGAAACTCACTTTTCAGTCCAAGGATGTTCATTTTTTGGTCAAACAGCTGTTCTTTAAAACAAAACAATATCTGTATTATTTTTTAAAGTATGTATTACTCCAATGATTTAAAAAGAAAGTATTTAAAAAATAAAAGGGAAGCACTGAGCTAATTCTGGGAGTCCTGGTGTGGCACTGCAGGATAATTCCCTGGACCACAAGCTTGGTTTGAATTGTAAAATGGATGGTTCAAACCCAGCAACTGTTCTTTGGAAACCCTTAACAGGGTCTCTATGAGTCGGCAACAACATGATAGATAACACTTAGCAGCAACAATAAGCTAATTCTGATGTAAACCCTTGGTTCAGAACCATTATTCTATTGCACATTCTTGATTTTTTTCCACTTACTATCTTTTGAATCCTACTAGAAAAATTATGTTCATTTGTCATGAGAAATTAAGTTGTAATTCCTAATAATAGCTGTCATTTACTGAATACTTACTAGATGGATCCCCAAGATCTGTTTTAGCTCTGATATTTTATGGTTGACTCAGAGAGAATCTTTAGTGATCAGTGAACATTTTTTTATGTAACTGTAGTATGTTGAAATTATTGCATTTAAAGTCAATGTTTTCTGTTTTCAACTTTCCCTGGGGAATATAATGGCAGCAGAACACATGGAAGGGCATGGTAAGTTCAGCTTGAGAATAGCTGAAAACCTTGAGAAAGTTTTGTGGTGTTGATACTTAATCAGCAACCTTCAGTACTTTCTCAGTTATTTATAAAGTGATGACTCTTTTGGTTGAAAGGTTATCCTTGTGGGTAATGGTGGAAGTGCATTATTTGTTTTTTGGAACATACTGTATTATAAGGGTAAGTTGAAGTAGAAACTAATTTGGGTTGTACCTATTTCTATTAAATTTACAGCAATTGAAAAGATAATCTTTGAAGGGGAAGCTTCTGAACTTTTTAATAAAAAGCTTTCATAATGGCTTCTTGGATTACTGCAAAAATTGATAATTTATTTTACTTAGGGTAAAATTTTATAGAATTTATAAAAGATTAGAGTATTTAATAATCTATACACATTCTGTTTTATCTTTCCTTTTTTCTTGGATGAATGGAAATCTGCTACTGAATGTCACAGATTAATATCCAGAAGAAATTAGATATGCGTGAATCTCTTATTTTCTGTGCTCTATTTTCTGGTTTATTTTAAATCAATATACCTGCATTAAATTTCTAAATTTTTTCCCCCCCCATTTGAATAAAGGTTCTATTTCTTCAGGGATTTGTTATGTGTTGTATATCATAAGTAGACAATTGGCTTTTTATGAAGCAAAATAAAATATTTCCTGGTAAATAATTTTTTGAAGGTTTTTATCTTCATTTTATTATTGTAAGCTTATTGGAATAAAGGCTTATCAAGATTGACTTTGCCCCTTGATCTCTGCCTTCATGCTCTCCGTAAGCATTGAACATGCTATATAGGTTTAAGAAAATAGATGTTTTTCACTAAGTATATTCTTGTTCTCAGTTTTATGAAACTCTTCTTTTCAACATTCACTAGGATTCTGATCTTCGAAGTGCACTTCTTCTGGAGCAGGCAGCCCATTGCTTTATAAACATGAAGAGTCCCATGGTTAGAAAATATGCATTTCACATGATATTGGCAGGCCATCGGTTTAGTAAAGCAGGACAAGTAAGTGCATTCCTTTGAAAAACAAAATCAAATATTGTTTGCCAATTTTTTTAAGGTTTGAAATTTATCCTAAAGTTGAAATAAATTTGTTCTGAGGTAATGTATCATAGTGGTAAGGGTTTTAACTTGGATTAGACAAATCTGGGTTTGAATCTTCATCTTCTGCTCACAACTCGACTTTGGTCAAGTTGCTTAATTTCTCTGAGCCTCAGTCTTTTTTAATAATATATAATAAATTTTAATAACATTTAATAATATGTAATATATAAAGAGACTTCAAAAAGTTTGTGGAAAAATGGAATGAAAAAATAATGGGATTTTTTTTCTATGAACTTTTGAAGCACTATCATGTGAAGGGCCACACACGTTGTGTGCATTCAATAAATTTTCATAATTCTGAACAGTTGATGAAATCTTCCTACTTAAGCGCTCGTCATTTGTTGTCTCTGAGTGAGTGCTTTATAATGATACCGACTAAATAATGTGTACAAGTCTGTCTCATTTCCTGAAAGCAGCTGAATTGAGAGAATCTCCATTGATTTAAGAGGGATTTTCCCAGCTCCATTTGTCCAGTTAAGCATAAGGTGGAGTAGTTTTGCTGGAGGCTGTGAAGTAGCTGTTGCAAGATTGTGGTCTACTGTAAATATGGATTGGACTGCACAATCATTTTAATTTGAAATGTATGTTATTTCAAAGACATAAAAATTCTTATTCAGAAATTACTCTCAATTTCAGACAAAAATGTCATGGTTTTTGAAAGCTTGCCTTTCAAAATTGGAAGTCCTCTATTTTTGGAGCCTTAGGAAAGAGAAAGTATGTGGAATTGATTTAGGTTAAATATAAAAGCTTCAAAAATATTTAGTATAAAATTAAATATCTTTTAATTATAAATGACATACTTAATAAATTACAACGTTTCAGTTCAAAAATGGGAAAAAATGTAAAACTGTAAACTATCATTTTTCACAGCCCCTCTTCTGCAGTGAATGTTAATGCATGTGAATCATGCTGTTTGACTGTTTGCCCCTGCTTAAGTTTCTATTCAAAAGGTTACAAAATTTAAAACATATATTTTTTGTTTACAAGGAAAATTTTATACAAGGGGGAGGGAGTTTTTCAAAAAGTTCTTGGGAAAATTACATTTTTCCATGAACATTTTGAAACCCTTTGTATATTCCATTAAGAATGATCCCTGTCCCTCTTATTGAAAAATAATCTGTTTTCCACACCTTTATCTATTTTTGAGAATGGTTTTATTTGTGAGGGTTATGAAATGATTGGAAATATGCAAGCAGATATTCATATTTACCTCCTCAAACTCTTTAGGGTATATTACTTTGAAGAAATGCTTAACATTAAAAATGCTCTGTGTGTTAGAAACTACCAGCTGTTCCGCAGGAGAAAGATGGAGGCTGTCTGCTTCCATACAGATTTACAGCCTCAGAAACCCTATACAGGGTCGCTATGAGTTGGTTCCGACTCCACCGCATATAATCACCACAATATGTGTGGTGGTTGTTTGTTGTTATGTGCCATGGAGTCGGTTCCGGCTCATAGCAACCCTGCATAGGGTTTCCGAGGCTGTAAATCTTGCAGAGAGCCTCATGTTTCTCCCGTGGAACAGCTGGTAGTTTCAAACTGCTGACTGTGAGATTAGCAGCTCGATTTGTAACCACTACGCTACCAGAGCTCCTATATGTGTGGTAGGTTGAGGTATATGCTATCTGCCCTCCTAATCTTCTCTATTATAGTTTGTCCTTGGGCTCAGTGATTCCAATGTAGTTGGGTAGTTCCTACCTCATGGATCACCCTCCATCCTCTTTGGCTCTGAAGTCCATTGTTGGGCCTTTCTTCTGTGTGGATGCCTTTCTCACTTTGCTTGAGCTTTGACACCCCATGCTGGGGCAAACAGGCATCACTTTTACAAGAACTAGCTAAATTATCATTATCTCTTTTTCCAGAAAACATGTCTTAAGTAAAAAACAGAAAACAACTCTGTCTGTACATAGTTTGCCAATTATCCTGGGAAGTGGATTGAATACCACAGTATACTCTGAAACAAAAGATACAGTGGAGAAAAGATGCTTCCTCCATAGTACCAAATCCTGTTTTTAAGATGGCAGTTGTCTTGAGTTTAATGATGGGTGATAGGTAATTAATGCTCAATATCTGCTCATGAGTATGGCAGGATGCAGCTGTGGGCAAAAGAAATCATTACATAATGAATACTCATGAAAATAATCTTAGAGAATAAGCATAAATAATAATAATTCTCTTAGTTGTTTAAAAATGTTTACACATACATGCATTTATATACAAACATACTCCATCTGTGGTATTTATACATGCATTTTTATCACATACTAGGTATTTCCATTGTGTCCAATGCAGTGGTGTTAGAGACATGACATAACAGAATTGAGATTTCCTCAGAGAGCTTTCAGTTATAAGTTAGCGTCCAAGCTTATAACACTTATCCAGGACCCCATCTGCTACTGCTGTGGAAACTCCCAAATGGTATTCGTGTTGCCGTTCTTGTTCCTGACTTCTCAGCCTTCTTGCTCTTAGAAAAAGCTTCTTTTTGGGTTTTCTCGATCTGGTTAATTTGACTGTCATTTTAGAGATGTGGTGTTGAAAATTAGCCTTAAAGTTTGCATTCTTCCCCTTTTCTAAAAGCATCTGATTTATTATTATTTATTTCCTTTTTTATTTTAATGGGACATCTTCTTCAGCATGTACCCTTCTTACCTTAGTTGGGCAGTGTTTGTAAAGTAGTTTGTACCTGGTGAGCCTAGAACCAGGCTTAGAAAATGTTATCTTCATTAATTGTGATTGATTCAAAGTTGAAATTTGTCATTAGCATTTTATTTTACTGTGAAGATGAGAGGTTTTTTTTCTGTTGTTACTTACTCTAATTTTCTTCTTTTATTAGTGAGTGGTATTGGAATGATTGCTTTGGTGTGTGTACAACTATTCTGGTTTTCTGTAAGATGTACTTTCACACTGGCCATGTTATTTGTCAGATGTATGCTGCTGCTTAAACTGCAGGAGTATGGTGGTCTACACCTCTTTTGAGTCTATAGAGTGATGACATTTATTACAGTTGTATTGCTGTGCTTAAAAGGTTTTGGCATTTCATTCTGAGCACATTTCCTGTATATCATAATGCTTTTAATCTCTTGCTATTGTCAAGCCTACATTCAGTAACCTGAGCAAACAGGAGGTGCAGTGTGATGCTTGTAGACAGCAACTTGAAGAGGAAGCACAGGTGGTATTTGGTGCTGACAGAAAACCCTGCCATGTCTTGCCCAGGCAATGCTCAGTATCCTCCTGTCTTAGCCTGCTACTTTGTCTGAATAGTTTGAGGCACAACCTCTTGGTGTCCACAGGACTGACCAGCAAGCTGTGACAGACAGGCAGACGACTAGAGTCAACATGGTTGGCTCAATATATTAAATGTTAATGTAGAAAAAGTAATGATTTAAATATAGTGTAAACCTGAACTATATGATAAATTGGCCACATAGCCAAATCTTTAGTTATAGTCAGTAGAAAAAAAGTATATTTGTTGTTTTACCTGATAGAGAACATTTTTTCCCCATTATAATATAAGCTAAATATCCTGCTCATTTTAAGTGTGTTAGTAGTTTGTATCTCTTGTATAGCCTGCTTTTTTCCAGAAAGGATTTAAGGTAACTAAGTTGAGAGGTGAGCTCTTGTCCGCAAAATTCACCATTTAAAAATTTTTCTGAAAGGAATTGGTGTTAGAACTTAAGACAGTGTGGTTTTCCATTCTCTCTAACCACATTCTCCACTCTTTTCCAACCCACACATAACACATGCAGCACACACAATACAACTGTGTCCACACATAGGGTTTTTGGCCGCTATGTAAGTAATTAATAAGTGTGAAGGGTTTGTTGTATTTGTTTCTTTTCCCTTAACATCCTAATTTCTGTTAGAAGAACCAGTTTTCAATTATTTGGTTTTGTGTGTATGTACATGCATTTTTTTCCAGTCCAAGAAAAATTTGGGTGGCAATACATTTATGTTTTGTTTTCTTGCAGAAAAAGCATGCTTTGCGCTGCTATTGTCAAGCCATGCAAGTTTACAAAGGAAAAGGCTGGTCTCTTGCAGAGGATCACATTAACTTCACTATTGGGCGCCAGTCCTATACTCTCAGGCAACTGGATAATGCTGTGTCTGCTTTTAGGCATATTTTAATCAATGAAAGTAAACAATCTGCTGCTCAACAAGGGGCGTTCCTCAGAGAATATCTTTATGTTTATAAGGTAAATTATTATTTTCACAAGTAGATATTAAAATTAAGTCATTATTGTTTTACAAAAAGCATATTTGTTACTGTCTTCTAGGAGTTTAGAAGAAAATCTCTAGTTCTTTATATTTTTGTCTTCCTGTCTCAGGGGAATGCCCGTTCTTCCATATTAATTTCAGTTGTAGACCCAAAGTCAGCTTCCCAAAGATCCATACCTCCTCATCTTTCAGCGGAAAAAGAAAAGAAACATACATTGTCAATGGATGGTAGTAGGACATACTGTAATTTTTTTTTTTTTTTTATAAATATATCATAAAGAAAACAAAGTCCACCGGGAAGGAATTAGTGTTATCTTATCTTTTCATGAATAGCCATAAATCAAATGTTTACTGCAATATTAATATTTTTTTAACTGTGCAACCCAGATCTATGATCAAAAAGCATAGCCTACCACAAGTTTATTGTAACAGATAATTATGTATATTCTAATAAAACCATTTTACTGGACTCTTGTTATTGTTGTTGTTAAGTACCGTGGAGTCGATTCTGATCCATAGTGACCCTGCACAGGGTTTCCGAGGCTGTAAATCTTTATGGGAGCAGAAAGCCTCTTTCTCCCACGCAACAGCTGGTAGTTTCGAACCTGCCGACCTTGAGGTTAGCAACCCAGTTTGTAATGACTACGCTACCAGAGCTCCTTGGACTCTTGTTATTAGGTGCAGTTAAGTCAGTTCTGTGTCAGCAGACTTACTTAAAACAGAATGAAACATGGTTTGGTTTTGTGCATTCCTCTCAGTTGTTGCTATGTTTGAGTCCATTGTTGCAGCCATTGTGTCAGGAAATCTAGTTGAGGGTCTTCCTCTTTTTTGCGGATCCTCAACTTTACCAAGCATGATGTCCTTCTCCAGGGACTGGTCACACTATGTGAAATAATTGGTTTATGTTTAGCTATCTCAGGCGGAATTATATGATCAGGAATCAATGTTACTGAAGAAAGAAGTCCAAGCTGCACTGAAGGCATTGGTTAATAACAAGACTCCATGAATTGACAGACTACCACTTGAAATGTTTCAACAAATGGATGCAGTACTGTAAGTGCTCACTCATCTATACCACGAAATGTGAAAGACAGCTGTCTGGCTAACCAACTAAAGGAGATCCATATGTGTACTTCTTGCAAAGAAAGTGGATCCAGCAGAATACAGAAATTATTGAACAATGTCATTAATATTCCATGCTGGTCAAATTATACTAAATATAGTTCAAAAGCAGTTTTAGCAATACATTGACAGACTTATAAGAAATTCAAGCTGAACTCAAGAGGACATGGAAGGAAGGATATCACTGTTGATGTCAGATGGATCTTGGCTGAAAGCAGAGAATACCAGAAAGATGTGTACTTGTATCCATTTTAACTATCATTCGGGTGTGTGGATCATGATAAGTTATATATGACATTGTGAAGCATAGTAATTTCAGAACAAATAACTGTGCTTATGCAGAACTTGTCCATAGACCAAGAGGCAGTTGTTTGAATAAAACAAGGATATATGCATCGTTAAAAATTAGGAAAGGTGTGCATTAGGATTTTATGCTTTTATCATGCTTGTTCAATCTTCATACTTGAGTGAAAAACGTGTTAGCAGAGTTGGGGGAAGGCTCATGAACAGCCTGCAGTATGTAGATAATGCACTCTTGCTTGCTGAAAGTGAAGAGGATTTGAAGCACTACTGACAGAGATCAAAGACTAAAGGCTGCAGTATGGATTATTATCTCAGTGTAAGGAAAACACAAATCCTCACAACTGCATGACATATGGAGAAAAGATGGAAGTTGTGAAGGATTTTATTTTACTTGAGTCCAGAATCAATGCCCGTGGAAGCAGCAGTTAAGAAATCAAATGACATTTTATTGAGCAATCTGTTCCAAAAGAACTCTTTAAAGTGTTAAAGAAACAAGATGCCACTTTTTTTTTTTTTTGATGTTCAGCTTTTTTTTTCCCTAAATTTTTAATTGTGAATTATGTGATAGTTTACATGGGAGAACATTAGTTTTACATTTATTCTATCATATATCGTCTCATTGCCTTGGTTAAAATCCCCTCCATGCAGTCCTTCCCCCCGTGCCCCACAGGTCTTCAGCACACATTCGCTCTCCCTCTCTGGATCTAAAGTCTCCAGCTGCTCCATCGCTCCACGTCATCATCTCTGGCTCCATTTCAGGCATCATTGCTTCTCTGGGTAGGGTCCCGCTCTCTGCTCTTCTCCCTTGATGGTCCTAGGGACCTCCGCTCCTAGACTGAAAAGTTAATCACCAAGATGGCACTTTGAGGACTAAGGTGTTCCCTGACCCCATGGTATTTCACATCATATGCATGTGAAAGCTGGACAGTGAATTAGGAAGACAAAGCAAAATTGATTACTTTGAATTTTGGTGTTGGGGAAGAATACTGAGTATATAGATTGCAGAAGAATGAATAAATTTGTTTTAGAATCTGTACAGCCAGAATGTTCCTTAGAAGCATGAATGGCAAGACTTCACTTCATATACTTTGGACATGTTATCTGAAGGGAGCAGTCTCTGGAGAAGGACACCATGTTTGGTAATGTAGAGGGTCAGAGAGAAAGAGGAACTTCAGGAAGATGGATTGATACAGTGGCTACAACAATGGGCTCAAACATAGGAACTATTGTGATAATGGTGCAAGATCGGGCAGTGTGTTTTTCTGTGGTACATAAGGTCGCTATGAGTCAGAATTCACCTAATGGCAACAGCAGGATATCTACAATTGTCTGTCAAAATAAAACTGTGGCAGGCTGTGCTTTTTGTTTTTGGTTCCACATTTTTTTTAGTATTTTTTCTAAGAAGTGTTTATTGTGAATTGAATGAAGGTTTACAGAGCAGATCATCAGTTTTACATTTAACAAATCTCATCTCAATGATTGCAATCCCCTCTCCCACTTTCTTCCTGTGTTTTGTTTCCATTTTTCCTCCTTTCACAAGTCTTCTGAATTTTGTCTAAGATCAAAATGCTGCCCTATTGATCTTGAATGATTGACCATTTTATGGTATGCATATGTCACGAGTGTTGTCCTCCAGCCGCTCCCCACCCACCCTCCTCCTTATACCTCTCTATTTGCTTGGCTGAAAATTAAGCCACAAGGATGAATTCAGATCCAGACCTGAAAGGGCCATATTCTCGGGGTCTGATCAGTAAGCCTTTTTATTGTTTTTTTTTTAAAAAATGTGTGATTTTGAGTTTTGTTATACATTCCTCCCACTCTGTTCTGAATCTTCTGATGTGATCCCTTTTAGAGCAGTTAGTATTGGTAGCTGGGCACCATCTAACTCAACTCAGAGTTGAGTTCCACAGTTCTTTAAAAGAGAATTTTAATATTCTAGTAAATATTTGATCTCTGACAGTTCTTGGTACTTAAAAAAAGAAAAGGTAACATTAATTTTTTCCTGGTGCACTACTTTTTCTGTTTTTTCAAAAAAATTTAATGGTGTGTTTTAGAATAAAAAATAATTTTACACTTTATTATTACCATCCATTAGAAATGTATGTTTCTTCCCCTCAGCCTTGATTGGGGAAGGGGGCAGAAGCTGATTTAAGATTATTATAGTGTAACTCAGAAATTAGTAAGAAGAAAGTATATTTCACTTTGAGGCAGGATGATAGAAAATATAAAGTATTGTTTTATTGAAATAATGGGAGGTTGTAGTTTTTCCCCTCAAGGCCTTGAGTAGAAAATATTGTTTCTGTCCTGTAGAAAATTACTATCCCTTTTAAATTTATTTGGAGCTATGGTGGTACAATGGGCAAAGCATTTGACTGCTTACTGAAAGGTTGGTGGTGTAAATCCACCAGATTCGCTGCAGAAGAATGAGGCACTCTGCTTCTGTAAAGACTAGCAGCCTTGGAAGCTCTAGGGAGCAGTTCTGTGCTGTCTTATGGGATCTCTATGAGTCGGAATCCACTTGATAGGGCAATGGTTTGGGTCAGTTGTATATCTGAAATCATATGTTTTAGGATTTTGCCAGGTACAATGCTGTACTGAGTTTAAATAATGTTTGGAAATGTACTATCAAAAGAGGGCTACCTAGCTGAATAACCATAAGATTTTTTTTGAGTTAGAATAAATGATTAGATTGAAATTTTTTCTTTGTTCTAAACTTTTATGACTGATGCATTCAGGAAGAACTAGTAATCATATAAGTAAATATATGTTTTTGGAGTCCTGGGGTGGTGCTTTAAGATAAGCACTGTCCTGCTAACTTAATGATTGATGGTTCAAACCCCCAAGCAGCTCCTCAGAAATCCTAGACAGGGTTGATATGAGTCCGAATCACCTTGGCAGCACTTAGCAACAGCAACAGTGTGTTTTTAATGTTTCCTGCAGTCAAAACATGAGAAGGTAATTTTTAAAAAGTCATTTTTTTGTAAGTTAATCTTTTTCTTTTGTGTTTCTCCTAGAATGTAAGTCAGCTATCACCAGATGGCCCTTTGCCACAGCTTCCTTTACCATGTATTAATAGCTCAGCAACACGGGTTTTCTTTGGCCATGACAGAAGACCAGCCCATGGTTAGTGAAGTGTTACTTAACCTTATTTTTTGTGACAGTTGTTTTTAAACAAGTTTTTCCCATTTCCAAAATGAAATGTAGTGTTAAAGAATGTTTGTACTATATAACTGTTCACCAGATCACCTTTTACCCTGCCACTGAAGATATCTACTACTTTACTGTTTTACTTCTAGTCTTAAAAAAATTAAACACAAATAGCAACAAAAAATAGCTGAAATTATAAATTTCCCATAAAAGAGTAATAATATAATCTTGCTAAAAATGTATAAGTTAAATTTTTAAAAATTGAAGATATTTTAGTGTATATAAAAATGCTTGTTTTACTACTTACTTGCCATGAATTTAGATTGTTTCCATGTTTTTACTTCTGTAAAAGTATGTTATAAATATCTTTGTGGATACAGGTTTTTTTTTTTGACTTTTAATTATGAAATTTTCGAATGTACACTATTTCAGTTATTTAATGCTGTTATTATAGAAATACGGCAAATAGATTCCTTTAACAAACAGAAATGTACACTCTCACAGTTTAGGAGGCTAGAAGTCTCAATCCTGAATTCAGCGTGCCGCTCTACAGAAAGATTTTCTATGAGCTCTGGGGGAATGTCATTGTCTCCTTTCAGTGTGTGCCTAGCATTCCTTGAAGATCTCTGTATGTCAGAACAGGGACCCTCTTTCCCCCAACTCTTCTTTGTGTTATACTGTGCTCCCTCCTTCTCTGCTATGCTGCTTTGTCCTTTTTGATCTCTCTCTCTTTTTTTTTTTTAATTTAAGGTTTTTATTGTGGATTGAGTGAAAGTTTACAGGGCATATCATCAGTTTCACATTCAACCATTCATATAACTTGTTTCATTACATTGATTATAATCATCTCCATATACCATGAGTTAAAAGTATTTCTCTCTATCCACTTTAGCTTTTTAAAAAACACACAAACAAAAATACACACTCGGGCATATATAATAATTTACATCTCCAAAGGTCACTTTCTGCAAGTCTGCTCCTGGTCACCAGTTTTTAGTCCTTCTCTTCTTAGTTGATCAATCTAGAGTCCTCAGAGTCCTTAATCCTTAGTTGGGTATTTATTTTGGTATTTTTTATGCTTTCTGAATGCCTCCAGGTAGATGTGATCAGGGAATGGGCTTCCCTTTTCACTCTTCTTCCTGAGAAGTTTCAAGATACTACTGTTGTTCGTTTTTATGTAATTTAGGATTTAATTTTTGACCTATTTCCTTTTTTGTCTGCTTGTTCCGCTCCACAATCCCCGTTCAGGGCTTTTTTCTAGTTGGAAACAATTCAGGGCCAGCTATGACCATTTGGTTTTAATTGGAAACTGTCTCTTTAAATTTTGAGGTGATCTGTGCGCATGCGTAGTAGAACCCTCCGAGGGTGGGGCTGGGGTGCCCACTAGCTCAGGCACCCCTATAGTCTTCAGAATGGAGGTGCGCAGATAGCAAGGGACCAATGAACAGATACCAAAAGAAAAGAATGTCCACACCTTTATCTCAGCAGTTCTGCCAGGCGTCTGTGTCCATTCTGATTCTTCCCCCGCGTGGTCTTACCCAAGATGGCGGCTCCTGGAGCAGCCAAGCGTTCCGGACTAGAAAGCAATAGATTTCTTGCTTTTGCCATGAATTCCCCCAGCTGTGAGCCTTCCAACCTTCTAAATATTCCTTTATATGTGGTTCAGAGTTCTGGGACCATCCCCTGAACCTGCTTGTCGGGTATTCTGTGTTGTTGGTGGAGCTCCTTTACTGCACTTCCACCGGATCCGCCATCTTGTTTGTTCTCCTCTTGTCCTTTTTTATCTCTTATAAGATAAAAGGTGATGCTGGCTACCTCCCAGGGAAATTCCACGTATATTCTATCAGGGCCATGTCGTGAATTATGTTGTTACTGTCCTGTCTCATTCACATAACAAACAGCCACCTCTTCATTATATAACCTAGTCTTGCCACTTTAGTGCTTAGGACTCAGGATTGATAGTATATCACTAAGTGGATGATAATCACATCAGATCAGCAAGTGGAGGACAGCTACACAGTGCTGGGAACCATGGCCCTGCAAAGTCAGCACAAATGTTTGGGATCACAATTCAATCCAGGACAACACAAAACCAGAGAACAATTTAATAATATTCTCCTGTTCATGCTGTAAGCCTTTTTAAAGTATAGGACTATATCTTCAAGATTGAAATGTCCAAGAGTATAAATATATTAAGGCTTTTGATGCATATCAAAGTAGATTTTATAATTTAAATAGTCTTATATTTGTGCTAAACTACTATGTTTTGTCTTGAGAGTAATGTGTTTATGTTATTAAAAAAAATGTCAGTAGGATTTTTAAAGCAGCATTGTTTTTAATAGCAAAAAAAAAAAAGATGAAGCAATTAAAATTCCCAGAAGGAATAAATCAGTACATTTGGTTTATTTATATATTGGATTCATGTTATAGGGAATAAGTGGATGAGTTCTTTATATTTCAACATGAAAATACCCGCAATATAATGTTGAGTGAAAAAAACTAATTCCAGAATGGTAGATCAAATATAATTTTGTTTTCACAAATTTTAAAACTACAAACATTCTGTGCATTGTATGTATCTACTTCATGTCATAAAATTTGAGGAAAAAGAAGGAGGATGAGATTGATAAACTTTGATTTAGCTCTGGGGAAGAAAAAGTGCAGTGGGGAGTTGGGGAGAGAATGGATAGGAAGACAGAGATGACAGCAATGCCATCTTAACATTTAGTTTTATAAAAAAAATTTGGAATCATATGATAATTAACATCGTTAAATTCTGGTATACAAAATTAGTTACATTATTCTGTGTACCTTTTCTGTATATTTGGAATACTTCATAACAGAAATGTGGGAGACTAGGGAAAGTACATTCTTCAGGAGTGAGGAGGAAAAGAGTATCAAAGGTTCAGTTAAGCTAGGTAAGTACATCTTTTTCTCTCAGGTAATTAGAAATGGACAAGGATGAGAGTTTATTTATATTTAGATAAATTGTGTTTCATTTGTGATCAGGTGTTTATAATCATGGCATTTAATTGTGACTTTTTTTTAAAGGTGAAAAGCAAGCAGCTACTCATGTAAGCCTTGATCAAGAATATGACTCTGAATCTTCTCAGCAGTGGCGAGAACTTGAGGAACAAGTTGTGGCTGTGGTTAATAAAGGATTAATTCCATCCAGTTTCCATCCCACACAGTATTGTTTGAACAGTTATTCAGATAACTCCAGATTTCCACTTGCAATTGTAGAAGGTGATATACTTTGAATATTTAATCATGTTTTTGTTAATTTGTTTTACTTAAAGAAGATTCAGGGTAATATGCTGTATGCCAAGAGTTGCTGGAGGCTAAGGATTGAAAGATAATTCAGGGGTGTCAAATGATGATTAGTGGGGGCTCTATACAGGAGCGTGCAGTGTCCAAGTAAAATTTGTTAAAGATAATACAAAAATGGCTGCAACCATGCATTGACAGAGAACTTTCAGAGGTTCAAGCTGATTTCAGAAGAGGATGTTGAATGATGTGTATCATTACTAATGTCAGCTGGATCTTGGCTGAAAGCAGAGAATACCAGGAAGATGTTTACCTGAGCTTTATTGACTGCACAAAGGCTTTCAGTTTTGTGGGTCATAAGAAGTTATGGACAACATTGCAGAGAATGTGTATTCCATAACATTTAATTGTGCTTATGAGGAACCCGTACATAAACCAAGAGGCAGTTGTTCGAACAGAACAAGGGAACACTGAATGGTTTAAAATTAGGAAAGGGGTGCGTAAGGGTTGTATTCTTTCACCATACATATTCAATCTGTATATTGAGCAAATAATCTAAGAAGTAAGATTATATGTAGAAAAACTTGACATCAGGGTTGGAGGAAGACTCATTAACAACCTGCAATCTGCAGATGATACAACCTTGATCGCTGTAAATGAAGAGGACTTAAAATGCTTACTGATGAAGATCAAAGACCACAGCCTTCTATATAGATTACACCTCAATGTGAAGAAGACAAAAATCCTCACCACTGGAGCCATAAACAGCATCCATATAAGTAGAGAAAGAATTGAAGTTGTCAAAATCTTCATTTTGCTCAGATCAACACTCACTGAGGCAGAAATCAAACAGCGTATTGCATTAGGTGAATCTGCAGCTCAAGACCATTTTAAATTTTTGAAGAACAGAGATGTCAGTTTGAGGACTAAGGTGCACCTGACCTAAGCCATGGTATTTTTAATAACCTCATATGCATGTGAAAGTTGCACAGTGAATAATGAATATCGTAGAAGAAGTGATGCATTTGAATTATGGTATTGAAGAAGACTATTAAAAGTACCATGGACTGCCAAAGAACAAACCAATCGGTGTTGGAAGAAATACAGCCAGAATGCTCATTAGCCAAGATGGTCATACTTTTTCTCTGGCACTTCAGATGTATTATCAGGAGGGTCCAGTCCCTGAAGAAGGATATCATGTTTGGTAAAGTGGAGGGTTAGGGGGAGGAAGAAGGAAGACCCCCAACAAAATGGATCATGTGGCAACAGCAGTGGATTCAAAATAGAGCAACAGTTATGAGGTTGACGCAGGACTGGGCAGTGTTTCTTGTTCTGTTGTGCATAGGGTTGATATGAGTTGGTACCGACTTGATGACACCTAACAACAACAAAATAGCAGTGTGCTGTTAGATTATAGAGGGAATGATATTCCTTGATACAGAGAAACTGGGAAAATATTCTAGGAGAAAATTCAGAAACTGAGTCCTGAATAAATGGTCATTTACAAGAAGGTAAGGGACATTCTGGAATCCTGGTGTGGCACTATGGGATAAGCACTCAATTACCAGGTTGCTTTGAATGGCAAGGTCATTGTTTCAAACTCACCTGCCACTCCTCAGTAACCCTATTCAGTGCCGCTATGAGTTGGAACCGATTCAATGGCATTTAATAACAACAAGGGACATTGTAGGAGACCTTGGGTGACTCAAAGGGTTGAGCAGTTGACTGCTCCCTAAAAGGTTAGCAGTTTGAAACCTTCCAGAAGAACCTCAGAAGACAGGCCTGGTGATATGCTTCTGCAAAGTTATAGCCTTGAAAACCCCATGGAGCCGTTCTACTCTGCACTGTAGACATGCATTGTAGATGTCATGGAAGCTAACAACAAGAAGAGACATGCTAGGTAGAAATACAGAAAAGCATGGTATGTTTTGAGGATTGAAATGTGTGTAGGTCTATATGTGAGGTTTATTTAAGTTCTTAATTTAGGGGTTTGTTTTGTTTTGTTTTGTTTATAGAACCAATAACTGTGGAAGTGGCTTTTAGAAATCCTTTGAAGGTTCCACTTTTGTTGACTGATTTGTCATTGCTCTGGAAATTTCAGCCTAAAGATTTCAGTGCAAAAAATAATGAAGAACTTAAAGAACTAGTAAGTTATTAACAGGTATTTGTAATTAGCATGTTTCAGTTATAGCCTAACAAATAACTGTAATAATGGTTCAATTTCTGCTTAATGAGCTATGCTTTTTCTTTTCTATGTGTGGTTTTCTCCAGTTAATAAAAATTATATTACATGTTTATTATTGAAAATTGAGAATACAGAAAAACAAGGAGTAGAAGTAAAGTTGCTGCTTCAGTAAAGTGTTTTGCTTATATTATTTTTCAATCAGCTCCATTTTATATTTCCCTAGTTTTGTATTTTGCTACCCAATTAATTGTAACTGCAGTATCTTGAACAGATTTATTTATCTCGTTAGTTATTTCATTGGCTTATTCACCAATATCTATTATACAGCTTTTATTTATTTATACTACTTGCTATATATTTTAATAATGTAAAACAATTTATTATAAAACAACAGTTCTCTGCTTACCTATGAAGAGAACTTGAAAGATGTCTGTTTTATTAACTTTGGTGCTTTATAAGCTTTAAGCAAGTTCTCTTCCTTTTGAAGTGTTTTGGTTATTTAAAAATTGCCTAATTAAAAATTTTGCTAGTTACATTGAAGACATTTTGTGATTATTTATAGTTCTTGTGACTAGTTTGAAAGTTGAGATTGCCCAGATTTAGTTGTTTTATACATAAGGTCCCCCTGATTTGATGGAAAATAACAACCACAATAATTCTGATTTAAACATTAGTAACCGTAGCAATTTTTCAAATGTGTTGGATACCTTAGTCACAGATTATAACAGTACAAACTATTCTCTTTTGGGAAAGGGAAGACCTGTCAATTCTATAAGGGAGTCCTGGTAATGCTGTGTGCTGTTAGGTGTTGGCTGCTAACCCCAGTGTCAACAGTTCAAACTCACCAGCCACTTTAAGACACTGAGGGAGAAAGATGAGGCTATCTGCTGTTATAAAGATATACAGTATCAGAAACCTAATGGAGCACTTGTATTCTGCCTCGTAGGGCTGTATGGAGTCCTGGTGTGGCATTGCAGGATAATGCTCTGGACTGCAAGATTAGTTTGAACCACAATGTGGTCAGCAGTTCAAACAGCCACTCCTAGGAACCATATACAGGGTTGCTATGAGCCGGAACAGACTCAGTGGTACTTAACAACAACAACAACATAGAGTTATATGAGTTGGAATCAACTTTGATGTCAGTGGGTTATTACTTCCTTGAGTTTCTTAGTCTTTGCAGTATATGTGATTTTTTTTTATCAAAGTTAAGTAAAATTTTCATTGTGTTGAAAGTTGTAATTTATGTCTTATGTATTTGTATATTTTATAATGTGGTTTTTTTTTTAAATACAGTTTCGTTTTTTCTCTAAATTTTAAACTCCTTGGATTTACTCATGAATTTCACATAAAAAGTAATATAGGGTTTACTGAGAATCATACTGAGTATCAGGTTTACCCCCAGTGTGACCCAGCTCGTTCTACTTTGTTGCATGATCTGAGACAGTAGTCTCGTGTAGATGTCATTGATTTTGAGTAGACAGGTCTTTCTTTCTCTTTCACACTTGTCCTTACTGTCCTCTAGCCTTTTCTGCATCCTGCTCTGGCTGTCATTGTGTTTTCTATGTGTAATTGGCCAATTTTGAAGTGGTGATTATGTGCTATGAACTTGGTTCTGACTCATAGCAACCCTGTATAGGGTTTTAGAGACTGTAAATCTTTACGGGAGCAGAAAATCTCATCTTTCTCCTGAGGAGAAGCTGGTAGATTCGAACTGCTGACCTCGTGGTTAGCAGCTCAACTTGTAACCACTACATTACCAGGGCTCCTTTCTGAAAATGTAGCAGGAGTAAAAGATGGAGAAATTTGCTGCAAGATTAAATTAAATGGCTGCTTTGGTCATTGTTGACAGTGACTTTTGGAGTATTATCCTCTTGGTGGCTGCAACTTTGAATAATCCACTTACCCACAATTAAGTTGGATTGAATGAAAAAAAAAAAGAATACATCAAGTTCCTACTGCATGCATACTGACATATGTGAATGTTAATAATCTGATAGATTTTTAATTATAATACATCTTATAAAATAATTTATTCTTCAGGTCACAAGTGAAGCTGACATGATTGGAACTGAAGTTATTTCAGAATTCCTCATTAACAGTGAAGAATCTAAAGCGGTAATTGTTTTCCTGTAAATTTTCCGTCTTACACTTTTGTATGCCTTCTTAAAAGTAAGCAAAAAACAAAACCAAAAAAATCACGTAATTTACTAGTTTGTTTACAGTCCTTGTTTGCTTAAAAGATGAAAGGAAGTATCTAAACAAAACAAAAAAAATCACTTAATTTACTGAAGTTGATCAAGAGGAAATTGGGGGACAAGTAGGCTTGTAATATTCTTTGGTTTATTAATATCATAGGAAGCCATGGGTAAGAGCAATGATAGTATCACATGATGTTTACTTGACAGGAATATTTGGATTATTATTGAGTGTTGTTGATTTTCTTTCCTTTGAAGAAAATGCTCTTAAATAAGAGAATTCAAATAGTTGGGCCAGAAAGTTTATGCTATGTACTTATATTTTTGCAGTCTTATTGAATTTATGTATTGTACTATTTATGATATCATGAAAACAGATATTAAGAGTGGCTTCAATATCTTCGCAGGCAAGACTAAAGCTCTTTCCCCATCACATAGGGGAACTGCACATTCTTGGAGTTGTTTATAATCTTGGCACTATTCAGGGCTCCATGACAGTAGATGGCTTTGGTGCTCTTCCTGGATGTCACACAGGTAAAGCTACAAATACAAATATTTAAAATCATTCCACAGAATAAATTGAAAGTAAGTGAGGTATTTTCTATCTCTTTTTCTAAAAATAATAACTTTGTGATGTTTACAGTAAAAGTTTATGCAGCAAATTAGACTCATTTAATAATTTATATACAAATTCACATTTAAGTACACTATTAATAATTCTTGATTGACCAGCATTAGCCAAGATTAATTATAAAAGAATCTTAGTTTATTACATACTTTAATAAATGAGATAGGTATTTTTAAAACATTTTGAAGCTCTTCTTCACTTTTATATAACTGAGATCTTAACCTGCCCACACAATGTTATGTTGTTGTTGTTAAGTGCCACAGAGTCTGTTCTGAATCATAGTGACCCTCTATAGTGTTTCCAAGGAATGACTGGTGAGTTCAGACCTACCTCGCAGTTCATACTGACCTGGCGGTTTAGTGCTTATCCTACAGCGCCACACCAGGACTCCTTGCAGTGTTATGGTTGGCAATAAAATATAGCTAATTGTTTTACTTAAGGTACCAAATATGTTCATTTATATTATTATTTATGTGTCCATTTAAGACATTATTGGGAGGAGGCCCTGATTAATTACTAAAACTCATCTTGTAAGCAGAGTTTTCATGGTTTTTGAGTAGTTCATGATTATGTGAAATGCTAGTAGGGCTCTGGGTCAACTAAGTTTAAGGAATACAACATTATATATTGTCTGGGAGTATCACAGTTGTATTCATTCAACACATTAAATGCTGTGAAGAATCCTGTAATAAAGATTGTTGTATATACCTAACCTGTTTTTCACATGTATGCTACATATATTGCATGGAAGCCTTTGGGAATAAGCTCATTTGAATATTAAATGGAGTGTAATTTTGAGAAAGCCACCTAATATGTCATTTTCTTGACGTAACCTACTGAGAAAATCAAGTTATGTAATCCAGAAGCAATTCAAATTAGTATGCATATTTGAATATGATAAAAGTGAAAAGTTGATCTGTTAAATGCTTTCAAAGTTGTTTTCTTTGGAAATGCATGCCTCTTCTCACTGCCAGTGCTGGCCTTGTAGTCTCTCATTGGGCCCAAGAACAGTGTTTTCTCAGATAGCACTTTTTGGTTAAGTAGGTATTATGATTAAATATAGATTTCAAAGGGCTTCAGTTATGTGTCCTTCTGCAAAGTCAGTCCTAACAAAACGAGAAATTACGTGGCATACTATAGATGTTGTGGAGTTCTGGTGCTATATGATAGGCCTGGACTGCTAACCGCAAGGTCAGCAATTCAAATGCACCAGCTACTCCTTAGAAACCCTGTACAGGGTTGATATGAAACAGCAACAACAATACATGTTGCTAAATATGGAAATAAAATATGCTTATTTTTAAATTAACTGTGTTTATCAAGTTTCTAGAATTTTTTTGCTTTAGTAAAACATTTAATTAATCTGAACCTTTCAGAATTCACATATTCAAGCTAGTTAACCTTCTAAATTAGTTTCGGGCATTGTTTGTTATTTCAGGAAAACATTCTTTGAGTATGTCAGTACGAGGGAGACAGGATTTAGAAATTCAAGGTCCTCGACTTAACAACACAAAAGAAGAAAAAACATCTATTACATATGGTCCTGATCGACGGTTAGATCCTGTAATCACGGAGGAAATGCCACTACTGGAGGTATCTCACATTTAGAGTTTTCATAGTTTTAATAACTTACATATGTAGTCAAATGATATTTTGAGTATATTAATTTCAGGCATTGAAGTGATTGGTATCACATTGAACTGTACTTTAAAAGTATTTTTAAGCTAGGGTTTAAATAAAGGAGCCTTGTTAGTGTAGTAGATTACAAGCTGGGCTGCTAGCTCCAATGCTGGCGGTTCAAATCTACCAGCTGCTTCACGGGAGAAAAATAAGGCTTTTTGTGCCTGGAAAGATTTCCAGCCTTGGGCCCTGTACAGGGTCAGTATAAGTCAGAACGGACTCCACGGCACACCACACCAGGGTTAAATATATCTAATTCACAAAGGTGGGGTAGTCAAGTAAATTAACATTAAGCCATAGCCAGTTTAGAAAAAAAAAAGTAATCCTTAAAATCTTAATGGAAATTGGGAAAACACTTTGGAAAGAACACTTTGGTTATTATAAAAATCTAATGGTCTCTTTTTTTCTTTTAAAGTATAAAAGTAGCATGAATAAATGCTTGTAAAAAAATTCAGGCAGTATAGAAATGTGAAGTAAAAAGGAGTTTTCCCTTTCACCCTTTCTGTATCTTACCCTCTTCCTTTCATACCACGTGAGACTCAGAATCGATTCCATAGTAGTGGGTTTTTTGTTTTGTATATTTAATTTTTTTTGGTTTAGTATCAAAAGATGAAAATTGATGCAAAGCAAAAAAATAAGAAAATGTATTATTTAGTTGAATGATTTTGGAATGTTTTATGGAAACTGAAGTATAGAATAAGTCCTAAAGAAGGTAAAAGATTCTGCAGCTCTAAGAAATTTGGCAGCAATCATTTCTTAGCTTTTAGAAATTATTGCTTTTGATGTGATCTTTGTCTAATAACTTTCAGTCTTTGTGACATTTTATTATAAATTTTAAGTTTCTGGGAGAGAAATTTGGCTCACCTTGGATCAGGTAGCCAGACCCAAGGAAGGACAGGTGGTATAAATATGAACACTGCAGAGACCTTTCTATTGCATCGTTAGAGTGCCCTAATTTGGTGGTGGGGATGGGGACTTGTAAGCTTTGCAGCCTACTTTCAAAATATACCAAATTGATTGTGAGGTTTTCAAACTTTTCACATTTATATGAAGGGGCTTCAAAAAGTCTGTGGGAAAATTCCATTATCTTTCAATTCCATTTTTTCATGAACTTTTTGAAGTCCCCTAATATGTATTTTTAATCATTATAAATGAAATTAGACATGTACTAACTTTATAACATATTTTATCCTTGTACTTGGCACTTTATAGACTATAAAGATGTAGTCTATAGCAGTATAACTTGAGCCTTCATTCATTTAGTAATAATTATTTTTTAATAGCTGGATATTCCTTTATTTGCAAGAGTAATACATATTTGAAAATACATCCCATAATATATTTTAACCATTTATCTGGCAGTGGTGTGGTTCTAGTTTTTATCTGTAATAAATATTAAGCATGTAGTTGATCCATGTGCTAGCAAAGACTAGACTCTAGAAATGGATTTGCTTGGTTAGAGGTAGGGTAGATACATTTTCAGTTTTGCAACATGCTATAAAATTCTCTTCAATAAGACTATAGTAATGTGTACTTTTCTACTGAAATGAATGTGAGTGGTCAATTCCTCCCAGCTGGGCTGTACTGGGTATCATCAGTTTTTTTCTATTTTTAACCTTGGAAAGTTAGATTGGTAAAAAATTATGTCTTCATATACATGTCTCTGATTAATAGTAAGGTTGACCAATCTTGTTTTTTGTCCTTATGATTTTTTTATCCCTCTTGACTGCCTGCCTTCAGTTGGGTGTTTTTTCCCTTTTCCTGCCTGTATGATATTTATGGGTATCAGAGCTCTGGTAGTGTAGTGGTTCCGACTCAGGCTGCGAACCTTAAGGTCAGCGGTTCGAAACTACCAGCTGTACCGTGGTAGAAAGATGAGGCTTTCTGTTCCTGTAAAGATTTACAGCCTTAGAAACCCTGTACAGGGTCGCTATGAGTTGGAACCGACTCCACGGCACATAACCACCATCACAGGAGAGGATTAGGTAACAGACTCTTGAAAATGGTGGTGAGTGGTGTGTGTGCTGAAGGGAAGGAGATTGCTGAGCTGAATGCATTGTGCCTAAGTTTAACGTTTGCTTAATTATGTTGTGTCTAATGAGTTGTGTAGGGCAAATAAAAGACTTCTAGACTGGTCTGGGTGTCAATTTTTGGTGCAATAAATACTTTGCACATACTTTTACTTTGATTCTGGTCTTTGACTTGCTGAAGTGTTTAACTTATATTAAGTCATGTCTCATAGTGTTTTTGCTTTTATGTCTTATCATTATTTGGACTTTTCTGCTAAAATGCTATTTTATTTGTTAATGCCTACATTTTTTCATTTCAATGGAAAACACTTTTCTGTATGTAAAGTTGGTAGTGCTGGTCAGTAATGTTAATTAAATATGGGTGATTGATTATGCTATATTTCTAATATAGTAATATCCTGAAATACTCATACCTGTTTATAATTTTGGCTTCTCCCTATTCTGTTGTTTTGATTTACTCCTCCCTGTCTATCACTGCCACAATAGTGTTGTAAAATATGGTAAGCCAAATCTCAGTAGTAATTGTTAGGTTTTTTCTTCTTGTTTATACTTGTTTATTTCTGTGCAAGTTTATCAAGTCCCCACAGTATTCCATTAGATTTCTTTTAAATATTGCATTGCTGTTGCTACAAGTTAGAAGACTGGAGATGTATTGTAATCAGCTCTGAGACTCATGCTGTTTTAGGTCTCTTCATCATAATTGTGTGGGAGTCGCTAACAGGTTTGGAATTATTTGCCTGAGCTTTTTTCTAGAGCTGATTGCCAAAAGGGAAGACTGATCCCTCTGGTTAAAGTTGTAGAAATAAATATCAATAGAATGCCAAAATGAACACTAATACATGATACTGTTTGCTGTAAATTTCATTAAACCATATCATTTAAATGTTTCTCAGTTATTTATTAAGATTGCTAAATATACTCATTTTTTAATGTCTACTCCAAAAAGTACTTAAGAGTAAGAGTGACATTAGTCTCTTTTTGTCGTCCTCTTTCCTAAAATGAAGTTGTTAATAACTGTATGATCAGAAAAATATCAGAGAATTAATGAAATACTTGTAAGCCTTTATAAAATTACAACATCTTAAAAGTGTTATTCATTAGAAGCTCAGAATGTTTAACAGACAATATAATAATATTTTTTCCCTCCAATGCAGGTGTTCTTTATACATTTTCCTACAGGGCTTCTCTGTGGAGAAATTCGAAAAGCATATGTAGAATTTGTCAATGTCAGCAAATGTCCTCTTACTGGATTGAAGGTTGTTTCTAAACGTCCAGAGTTCTTTACTTTTGGTGGTAATACTGCTGTTCTCACACCACTAAGTCCCTCAGCCTCTGAGAACTGTAGTGCTTACAAGACTGTTGTGACAGATTCTACCTCTGTGTGTACAGCACTCATATCATCAGCTTCTTCTGTCGACTTTGGCATTGGCATAGGAAGTCAACCAGAGGTGATTCCTGTTCCTCTTCCTGACACTGTTCTTCTACCTGGAGCTTCAGTCCAGCTTCCAATGTGGTTACGGGGACCAGATGAAGAAGGTGTCCATGAAATTAACTTTTTGTTTTACTACGAAAGCGTTAAAAAGCAGCCCAAAATACGGTGAGTTGTAAAAATTTTTTTTCTAATTTAACTTTTGTTTTACTACGAACGTGTTAAAAAGGAGTCCAAAATATGGTATTTAATTTTTTTCTGCTTCAACTTCTGTATTAGTGTTCTGTGCCATGTTCAAATAAATATTTTGATGTCAATATATTTGTGAACAAGGTGCTGGTGTCACAGTGGTTAAGTGCTAAGCTGCTTCAAAAGGTCAGCAATCTGAAACCAGCAGTCACTCTGAGAAAGATGTGGCAGTCTGCTTCTGTGAAGATTTGTAGTATTAGAACCTCTGTGAGGCAAGTCTGCCTTGCTCTCTAGGGTTACTAGGAGTTGGATTTGACTCACTGGCAGTGCAGTTTAATTATATTTGTTAACTGTCATTGTTTATTAAGAAATGATACCTTTCCTGATTATATGTGATATTTATATCTGAGCTTCTCCTTAATAGAATTATAAATTTCTAAGTAGCTGAAAGTTAAAAAATAATCTATTTTTTAGTTTTTTTATTTGGAAGTGTCTTAATTCTTTAATATGATTAAGAACTATAACAAGATTTTATATAATAAAATTAAGAGTTATTATATTAAAACATGAATACAGTTTGCCTATCATCGTTTAAAAAACAATTTTTTGTTCTCCCTTTCTCTTTTCCCAGTTCCCCCATCCCCTTTAAACATGTATGAAAGTATGAAAAAAATGTATATCTACAGAACAGATGATAGGATTATAATTGGTGCTTACTGGAAAAAGAATCCACCCAAGGATCTGTGACCTTTACATTACACAGTAGAATATTTTGTATATGACTGTGCCCTTGTCATTTTTTAAGACATTATTCCTACTCCTCCCTTATCAACATGGTTAGATTCCAAAGACCAGGTTGCTATGTGAAAATCAGCTTTCAGGGCCAGATGGGCTGTTCCCTGTCTTTGTTATTGGTGTCCTCCCACCGTGTGGCACACTCCTCATAGGGCACCCCTGGCACATCTCAGGATGCTCATGGCATGAGGATCTCCCTTTCCCATCATGCCTCTGCCACCTACCCTGGAGTCATTCCCCACCACCCTGGTGTCTGCAGGGTTAGAGGGTGGTGATGGTGGTAGTCAGGGGTTACCTGTCATGTATAGAGCATCAAGAGCCCACCATCACCTGGCTGTGTGGTAGTCTTCCTTGTGGACCCCCGTACCTTGCCTTTCCACCTATCAAACTCGCCAGACCTGAAGATGGGCATTGGCCGCAGGCAGCTCCTACTGGGCCTAATGGAGGCTGTGGAGATTTCAGAGAGGCCCCTTTGAAAGAGACTTCCAAGCCCCCACCCGATTCCTGAGGCCCTGACCTGGCTCTCCCTTTGTCCTGCACTCTGCCCACCTGCCCTGTGCTCTTCCACCTGCCCTGGCAGCATGAACCATTATAGCCCTTGACCTCACACCCTCTCACAAACTGCCCCCACCCCACTTTACTTTCTTATTAATATGTAAAATAGTTGTGTATTAGTTTTTTATTGTTGTAAATGTGAAATGTTAGATAATGAGACAATTGTGTAGGCATAACTAAGAATAATTATGCTACATTTATTTAATGGAATAAAGTATTTTGTAAGACTTACTGTGAGATTGAAATGAGCTAATACTTGTGAGTACAGGCGTATTTTAGGTCCTCAGTTAATGTTAGTTCCCCTTAAGAAAATGAAAGAGAAGAAGGAGTATTCTGCCCAAAATTGTCAGGGAAAGCTTTATAGAATGAAGTAGTGGTGAAATGAGCCTCCATAGAAAGTAAAGGGTTAGGATTTGGCAATCGCGAGAGTGTAGGTAAAGTTAGGGGGCTAATGTTTATGAGTGAAGGTTTGAAGGTTAGAAGTATCAGTTAAATCTAGTTAGCCTGACTACAGTATAACATGTGTCAAAGACGTAAAGGGGAAGAAATCTTGAAAGGTAAACCTGTATTGTGGAGGGCTTTGAATGCCAGATTTGAATTTTACTTGACATGATCAGAACATTACTTCATGAAGTTTATTTTTATGTGCTTATACAAAGGGTCTTCAAAAAGTTATAGGAAAAATGAAATTAAAAGATAAAAGTAAAAAATGTAAACTTTCTATTCTAATATAAGGTTCATCAAGTTCAAGACACTTTTGTAAATGGTGATTCCAACCATTTAGTCCATCTCTAAAGAGCTGAGGGTCCTGGGAATTTAATCCTGTCACAGCAGTCTCTTTATATTATTAGTTAAAAGAAAGAGTGCTTATTAAAGACTTTTAAGATTAGAAAACAACAGGTCAGAAGGAAAATAAAGCAGGACTTTAAGGTGGATACCTAGTGACTGCCCATTAAAAAGTTGCCCTTGATTGGTGAGAGGAATGAGCAGGAACCTTGTTTTGGTGTAGGGCTTTCTCTCTGGTGAAGCTTTCCTGGGCATTTTCTACTAAAGCTTGGCTGACCTTTTTAGAACATGCGTATAAAAAGCAGATGTTACTATTCTTTGACCCTCCATAAAGTCAACAAGCAAAATGCTTTGAACATCCACCAAAATTGTTGCTCTTCACTGGCCCACTTTTGCTTTGACTGGACTACTTTCACCTCTTTTTAGCTATTGCTTTGATTTTTCTTGTCCTCAGAATAATACTGATAAATCCCTGTTGAATTTCCTGCTGTGATTGTTTGAAGAAGCATTTTGATCTAACTAGTTTAACATTTCCTTTGAAAGCCCTGCTATTGTATGCAGCTGATCTGAGGTCAGCAGTTTTGGTACCCCTCAAGGGGAAACTTTGCTCAACTTTAAACTTTTCAGCCAGCATTGTCTGAGCTGAACCAACCGAGATGTTTATGGTGTTGGCTCTTGTTATTGTTTTTAATTGTAGAGCTTCTTTAATTAGGGCAAAAACAAGAGTAACTTTTTCCTTGAAAATTGATGTGCATTGCTTGCTGCTTTGGGCTTTATCTTAAATATCTTTTTTTTTAAAATAGAAATTTATTATCTCACAATTTTAGTGCCCCAGTGGAAGAGAGAGACAGAGTTCTTCCCACGTGATTATTATATTAGGAGTAAGTAGGTAAGGGTCACTATGGAAGTCCCTAGTGGAAGAGAGAGACAAAGTTCTTCCCACATGATTATTATATTAGGAGTAAGTAGGTAAGGGTCACTATGGGTCGGAACTGACGCGGTGGCACTAAACAACAACAACACCCCAAAGGAAGTATCCCTTCAGTTGATTGGCTACTCGTAGCCACTAATCATAGAGCTAACTATGCGTGTATTAGGTTTCATAACCGTAAGAATAAGAAAATACCAACTGCTAAACCTCTGGAAATCCTGACCTAGTCAAGTTGACAAAACCCTAACCATTCCATTTCACCGCTGTCAACTTGTCACCTATAAACCATGTGCATAATTTCTAAATAAAGAACAATTGTAAAGTCATACTTGTATCTAACTTGTTATAACTAAAACACAGCTGAAAATGCACAGGTCTCACTTACATCTTATGTCACAAATGAACACAGCATAAATATTTGATGCACACATACAAAACAAGACAAAAAAATATATATTCATTTAAGTGTCACATTCTGCAAGTTGACCTCTAGCCCATAGGCACACAGCCTTACTCAGTCCATGGGCCTAGAGTTGATAGCTGATGTCTTTCCATGCTACCGCATCTTCTATCACTGCTTTTTCAGGCAGAGAGCTCAAGCTCCCCTCATGCTCTTCCTTAATGATGGTCCTGGGATCATCTGGTCCTCAAGTGAAAGAAAACTACTCCCTCCTTTTAGTTACACATCTTCTACAATTAAGGTTTTGAAAATCACAATTAATCCTCCTGTAATTACTAACTATTAGAATTATAAAATTGTATCAGCATCATATTGTATCCTCCTTTCACCAGACCCATCTGAAAAAGAGGAAAGCTATTCAGTGGGGAATCTGCTTTGTCCCCTCATTCTAAAACTAAGCATACCCATGGAATCTTGTAAGCCATCCACTTCCTGCCTTAATAGCTTCCCCACCCCCATATTTGATAGCCAATGTCTAAGTTGCTGGTCCCTATCAACCCAGTACCTGGTGTGGCACTGTGGGTCAATGCACTGGACTGGAAAGTCAGGTTGAACCACAAGGTCGGCGGTTCAAGCTCACCAGCTGCTCCTCAGAAACAAAATACAGGGTTGTTATTTGTCGGAACTGACTTGATGGAATTTAACTACAACAACAACAATCAGCCCAGTATACTGAGGAGGCAAGCAAGTTCCTTGGTATGAAGAATCTTTCATTATGTTTGGAAATTTGAGCAACTGCATAAGCAAAAGTCCAGTCCAACAAATTATAACAATTGACAGAGTATCAAACATCTTTGTCGTCATCCTGTTAGTTTCTGGTCAGCGCAACCCTAGCTATCCAGGCTAGGTCAAATGGGTACCAGCTACAAGTTTGGGAGTTCACACACACCTTCCTGCACTTCAAACCAGGTGGCACTCTCACTCTCAGCCCTAGCCCCTAGCCCTGGGCTCAGGAGTTCACACAACTCCCTAAACTTCTGACCAGTCAGCTTTCAAGCTCCTCTGGGTGCCAAGAGAACATGTCCAAATTCTTCCCATGTCTTCATTGCTGCATTTCTCCCAATTCCACTCACAGGTAGATCCAGGTGGTCACTAGCGAGCATATGACTTGCTGATTCCCTTTAACTTCAGTCCTAGAAGTAGGTTTTCTCTGATGAGCTGACTTTTTGCCTCAAGGCTTCTAAAACTCAAAACACCAAACTCCCTTGGCTTGAATCTGCTGATCTTAGCCTTTCTGGGTTGGTCTGCATGTCTTTTCAAGTACAAAACTCTGAAGGTTCTGGGTAGAGCTCAGGATTCCAACTAAAGCCCTATATTCTACAAAGGCTTAAATCAAAAAGCATCTTTTTTCCATGCAAATTCTAACTCCTCTATAAGCAAATCCAGTCAAGTATATATAGGCTGAAGGTGAGCCTACAAGCTCTCTGTAATCATACTTCCTTATATTCCTATCACACATGTATGCTTATTTTACAGTAATACGCAGGAGAAACCAATAGCTATAAGGCAGTCAAGCATATGAAGCTTTTAAAACATTTTTAAAAGTCCAATTTTTACTTCTACCTTGGACTAACCACATTCATATGTATATGGCCTTGGGCCTCTGGTAGGCTGGATTCCAGTAGGCCAAGGCCCTTAATCAGCCATCCTTTTATTTTTAAAATTTTTTATTGTGAATTGAGTGATTGTTTACATGGGAGAACGTCAGTTTTGCACTCATCCTATCATTTCATTGCAGTGATTACAATCCCCTCCATGCATCATCGTTCAACAATCAAGCAAACGGCACATTCTGCAAGCCTGCCTCCTGGCCGCCAGCATACAACCTTTCTCTTTTCATGAGTCCTCAGCTGCTCTCTCTCTCCATGTCCTCATCTCTCCCTCCATCTCTGGTGTCACTGCTTCTCTGGATAGGGTCCCACATTTGGCTCATGCTCTTCTTCTCCCTTAATGGTCCTAGGGTCCTCTGTTCCTGGACTGTAAGATTAATTTTTTTGTTACAAAACTTCTATCTTTATAATTGTGATAATCACAATTAGTCATGATAACAATTACTCACTTTTGAATCATAAAAATCTTATCCCCATCTCTTTTCACCAGACCTGTATAGACAAGATAAAAACTATTCAGTGGAAATTCTACTTTCTCCTGCACACTTTGAAACTAAACTTCCTCTTGAAAACTTGTAAGTCAGTTACTTCATGCCTTTATTGCTCCCCCATTTTAGGTAGCCAGTGTCTAAGTTGCCCGTCCCTAGCAACCCTTTGTACAGAGGGAATAGGATTGATCATTGATGTGAAGATTCCTTCCCTCTCAGGTAGTATTTTGACCTGTACTCTTAAGTATAAGAACTATAAGTCAAGTTCCTCAAATTGTAGCTCTGCCATCCTTTTTAACCAGTGTGTCATCAGCTCCATGCACCTCCAGACTCTTGTTCTCCCTTCTGCTGAAATATTTTATCCTGTGACCCTTTGTACTTTATTCCACAAAATGTCACACTATCATAGGTCTGGAGCCATTACAGTGAATCTTGTTCTCAGCATCAACTACTTAAGTCAAGTGGGGACAATGTCTGACTTCTTCTGACTCCAGGGAAAGAGGACCAAACTCAAAATCAGCCCAAGGCTGATTCCTGTGAAGTGGAGGTCAGACATAAATCCAGCCTCTATCAGTGCCTTTGAAATTAGACTTCAAAACCAATTAGAAAATTCATCCTTATGATTTTTTTCCCTAGAACCCTACTGCCTTGGTAAGAAGCTCTAGTAGCGTAGTGGTTACGAATCAGGGTGCGAACTGAAAGGTCATCAGTTTGAAACTACCAGCTGCCCCGTGGGAGAAAGATGAGGCTTTCTTCTCCCATAAAGATTTACAGCCTCGGAAACCCTGTTAAGGGTCGCTGTGGGTTGGAACCGACTGCACGGCACATAACAACAAATCTCTTGGTACCACAGTTCTTAGGCCAGGATTTTCAGAGAAGCAAAGTCAGTGAAACATATATATCTATATATATATCGATATATATATACTTATATACTTTTATATGTAATTACTGTCTTACAATTGTAGAGCCCCAGGTTCGAACCAGAAGAGAAAGCTCATCCATTCTTAAAGCAAGTAATCTGTCTGTGAATGCCTGGTTTCTTTGGAGCATTGTCCCATAAACTTTTTATAAAGCATCAGTGGTTTCACCATTCTTCCACCCAAGCTTTACCATAAATTTGATGTTTGTTCTTGCTTCAATTTTAGCAGCAATTGTTGTTCTGAAAAGGACTCTTTTTGAATGGATGTCTTGTCCTTTTTAATGCCTCAGATTAGATCCTATTCAGACATGTTATAATAAGTTTTTGCTGTTAAGTGCTGTCAATTCATTCTGACCCTTAGAGACCCAGTATAGGGACTCCTAGGAGCACCTGGAGAGTTTGAACCGCTGACCTTTTTTTGTGGAAAACAAATTTAAGTCCATGCATAGTTTTTTTTTCATAATATGTATTTTCTATGAGCTTTTTGAACATCCTTCACACAAATGAGTAGGATGTTCAGGTAAACAGCCTGGTATTGGGGAGACTTAATTGTTTCCTTCTAAATTAAGAAGAAAGAATTGAAGTTAGTTGTAGATGATTTTACTTTACTGTATTCTTTTTGTTTTAAAACATAAGTGGTACTTAGTGTGATTGTTTTTTAAAATTTTTGTTTGGAATTAGAGAATGTAACATAATAGGCTCTTTGATTTAATTTGCATTTTTTTACTTCTTTAGTCACCGAATATTAAGACACACTGCAGTTATATGTACCAGCCGATCTTTAAATGTACGAGCTACTGTCTGCAGAAGTAATTCTCTTGATGATGAAGAAGGCAGAGGAGGCAATATGCTAGTCTTTGTTGATGTGGAGAATATCAATACTGTAAGTTTTTTGTTTTTAATTGTATTTGAAATGTTTCTTTGTTTTTAGTAATGGAGTTTTTCCTTTACAAGATAGTAAAGCTAGGAATGAGCTGCTGCTAACTGGAACTGCTACTCAGGAGAAATATGAAGTTCCCTGCTCCTATAAAGATTTAGTCATGAAAACCCTATATGGGGTCCATATGAGTCAAAATTGACTTGATGGCACTGTGTTTTGGGTGGGTAATGTAGGATAGTGTGTGAAAACGTCTGAATTATTCATAACCTTTATGATTTTATATCTCGGTCTTTATGTTCAGATTCAAGTTGTGTTGGCATTAATATGGCACATGCCCCACCTAATCCACTGGCATCCAGTCAGTTCTGATTCACGGTGACCCTTTCTGGGGGTTTTGATACTGTCGTATTTTACAGGGGCAGACAGCCTTATCATTCTTTCTCAGTGTTGCTGGTGAGTTTGAAACACTGACCTTATGGTTAGCAGACCAGAGCTTATCCTATAGTACCACCAGGGCACTTAATAACATCATGTGGCATGTAATTCAGTCCAAAAGTGAGCTCAAAAATTGCTTTCTAGTTTCAGCATTGAGGATGATCTATTGATGTAATTAAATTTATGAAATTCTGTTAATATTTCCATTCATTATTGATTTTGTAACCCTTCACTTATACATTACCGATAATCCCATTTCCTTTGTAAGGTATTTAAAAAATCTTGCCATCATTACTATGCACTATAAATATCAAATTAAATATTTGTGAAGAAGGGAGTGTGATCTGAAGATCAAAAGATTGATTTAGTTCAGATAATTATTCAAAATGTTTCTTATTTGTAATGTCTTGCATTTAGCTTAATACATTTAATAAGGTAACTGCTTTATCATGTTTAGGGTTAATGTGCTGATATATCCTCTTCAAAAAATATTTTTTATTCAATAATATTTGTTGTTGTTGTGTACCGTTTAGTCAGTTTCAACTCATAGCGACCCTGTGTAGGGTTTCCAAGAGTGACTGGTGGATTTAAACTGCTGAGTTTGTGGTTAGCAGACCAGTGCTCATCTTCCAGTGCCACACCAGGGCTCTTATTAAGAATAAGAAGATTCTAATTTCAGATTTCAAATTACCTCTGAATCAAGAGAATAAAAAAATTGCATACAAGTTAAGCAACCTTGTGTGCATTGGCTGCAGATTCTGTTTTGTGGATTTTTTTGTTGTTTGCCTTTTGCTTTACTGGAAATAAGATATAAAGATCAGAAGAAATAAAAATTTTGATTAAAAATCGGCAGTAAATAGTTTTGGATATATTTAGTGCTAGAAAATAGCTAATAAGTAGGTCTTAGATGCAAAAGCTGGACAGTGAATAAGGAAGATCGTAGAAGAATTGATGCCTTTGAGTTGTGGTATTGGAGGAGAATACTGAGAGTGCCATGGACTGCCAAAAGAACCAATAGATCTGTTTTGGAAGAAGTGCAGCCAGAGTGCTCCTTGGAGGCCAAGATGGCTAACTTAGTCTCTCATACTTTGGACATATTGTCCGGAAGAAACTGTCGCTGGAGAAGGATGTCATGCTGGGTAAGGTGGAGGGTCAGAGAAAAAGAGGAAGACCCCCAACGAGATGGATCGGCCAGGTGGCGTCATTGATGGACTCAAGTGTGGCAGCGGTAGTGAGGTTGGCCCAGGATTGGACATTGTTTCATTCTGTTGTGCATGGGGTCGCTATGAGTTGGTTCCGACTCGATGGCACCTGACAACAACAACAACAACAAAGTAAATGGGAAAAGTACTTTTTTTTGTATTGTGAAAGTTGCTACTAGGAGTGCATTATACTTCAAACTACTAGGTAAACTGTTCACTTATGTGTTTTAAGAATGCTTAGAGTATTATCTGTGAATATAGTGTGCCATTACAAAAAGATCCCAAATGATTCCTAAAGGAAAGGAAAGATGATAAAGGGGCAGGGAAACTAGGACAAAATTAAGAGGGGTGACACATTGTGAAAAATGTAACTTGTGTTGTTGTTGTTGTGTGCCATCAAGTCAGTTCCAACTAATAGCAACTCTGTATAGGGTATCTGAGGCTGAAAATTTTTATGGAAGCAGAAAGCCTCATCTTTCCAAGCAGCGGCTGGGAGGCTCAAATTGCCAACCCTGTGGTTCATAGTCCAGTGCTTTTCTAATAGAAAAGAATTTGTGTGAAAAATCATCAAAAAATAATTTAATTTGTTGTGTAAACGTTCACCAAAAACAAAATATAATTTTAACACATTTTAAAGAGGGATTTGGATAATGTACTTCATTAAATACATATTGTTAACTTTATTTCAAAATAAAAAATTTTGCCTTATTGGTTAATACTAATTTGTTAGCAATGGCTGAATATATTGTTCTCCTTGGAATATTCTAATCGAGTATTCTAAAATCTTGAATAACTTTTGTGTCCTTTTGACAGAGTGAAGCAGGCGTTAAGGAATTTCATATCGTACAGGTGTCAAGTAGTAGCAAACACTGGAAGTTGCAGAAATCTGTAAATCTATCTGAAAACAAAGGTTTGTGTCTTTTTTCCCCTTGGTAACAAATTCTGACATTTTTGCAGCATGATTTTTCAGAATAGTACCAGAATATCACTTTAAGATAATGGGTGCATAGCTTATAATTAAAGTATTTTAAAGCATTAAATAGGTTTTTTTTTTTTTTTAGCTTTTTCTTGTGAATTGAGTGAAGGTATACTGACAAGATCATTAATTCTATATACAACAAATCATAGGCTTTGTTTCATTTCAGTGATTGCAATTCCTTCCTTGCTTCAATCATTATTCTGCTTCCTGCCTGTGGTTCCTATTTCCATTCCACACACCTTCCCATCCCATCTGTAAAGTCAAATTTGTGTCTTTATGTAAATGTAGAGAGGGCCTGGACAAAGAATTTCTGTTAATACATTATCCTGTTAGATATGAATTGTGTTTGTCATAATAGGGTGAATGGTACTTGTTCCTTGTCGAAAATATTTGTGTATTTCAAAAGATATAAAAATGTTTGAACCCTTAACTTATTAATCCTTAGTGTTGGAATTTACTCTAAGGAATTAATTTAAATTCTGGGAACATTCCTATACTCGAGAAGCTTATTGCAAGATTATATTTAATAGGGAAAAATTCAGTGCATACTACACCTTATGGAGAATATTTTGCAGTAACCAAAATTTACTTTATTAGCCTTTAAAAGTACCTTTAAATGTAGTATATAATGCACTATAGCAACCTGTGTGCATTTGATAATATCACTATGAATTTATATATGAAAAAAATACTGAAAGGAAATGAAGAACTGGTAGAAAGGAGGGGGAGAGGATTTGGGACTTTTCATACTCCAAGGGCTGATCTTTGTCATGTTTTTTATTTGTAATTTCATATACACATAGCAGGAGTCCTGGTGTGGCACTGTAGAATGTAAGCACTGGACTGCTAACCACAAAGTCGGTGGTTCAAAGCCATCAGTTGCTCCTTGGGAACCTCATACAGGGTAGTCGCTATAAATTGAAGCCGACTCCATGGTACTTAACAACAGCATACACACAGTAAGAACATTGAATTGAGAAAATTGAATGTTATTCTTTTTAAGAACTTAGTGAAGATTCACCAATTGAGATGAAAAGAAAAACTGATTTTCATTAGCCTTGTTTATGAATTATCCATTTTGGCTGAAGAAGTCTAAATAATGATTAAGGTTTTACCCTGCCATAAGTTGAGAAAGATCTTTGAGATTTTTTTTTTTTTTTTTTGCTTTTTAGATGCCAAACTTGCCAGTAGGGAGAAGGGAAAGTTTTGCTTCAAAGCAATAAGATGTAAGGAAAAGGAAGGTAAATTCATTTTGCTTTCACATTTTCTTAAGTGATTCTTTTATATATCATGCCAATGATCTGATTAGTTGTTTCCCCTGTTTTTTAGCTGCTACACAGTCCTCAGAAAAATATACCTTTGCAGATACCATCTTTGGAAATGAACAGGTACGCAAATTAGCACACTTCTGAAATAGCTGGCTATTTGGACAATGTTGTTGCTTCAGCAATCCTATAAGCTGTTTAGAGAATGAACATACTGTGTTTTTCAAACTGTCTTCACTCCATTAAACAACCCAAAATGCTGTATTACTATACCATTTTAATTAGTTGTTTAAAATAAACTTTGTTTTGAGGATGTTTTATATCATATGAACAACTATAGTCTTTAGAATGAAAAGAAATAGGATTATGTTTAGGAATCTTTTTATTACAGAAAATGGTTACAGTAATAATCTTCTGGAATTTGACTTACATGATTCTGAGTCCCAAATAATAAGATAGATACATAGGCTTTGATGTGATTTTAAATGTATTCTTGTCTAGGGCAATGCTACTTCAATTTAATGATGCATAAGAATTACCTTGAACAGTGATTTTCAAATTTTAAGAGTGTCTATGGGGATCTGTAAATACCACCTCAGGAGGACTAGGATAGGACCTGAGGCTCTACATTGCTGTTAGTGCCTAGGTTTGTTACTGCTGTGTAGACACTAGCTTTGAGTATCAGGGACCTAGTAGATTTTGTAAAAACTTTGGCTTTTCTCATTACCTCTAAAGCTCTAGTTTGTTATGTCTTGGATGGAGCCTGGGGATATGCATTGTCAAACAGCTCTACAAATAATCTGAAGATCTGCTTTAAGAAACACTAGACCGAGGCTGTAAAATTGCGTGTGATTGTGTGTTGTTGCTGGAATTATTTCCAAACATCCTTAGATTTTTGTACTGCTGTACTTCTTATACATCTGTCTTCATATGATTCTTTTGTTTTCAAGTTTTTATTGTGAATTATGTGATAGTTTACATGGGAGAACATTAGCTTTACATTTATCCTGTCGTATATCATTTCATTGCAATGATTACAATCCCCTCCATGCATCATCAAACAACCAAAGAGTACACCCTGCAAGCCTGCCCCCCGGCTGCCAGCACACAGCCCCTCTCCCTCCCTGAGTCCAGAGTCCCCAGCTGCTCCATATCTACAAGTCATCATCTCTGCCTCCATCTCTGATCACTGCTTCTCTGGTTAGGGTCCCGCACTCCACTCTTCTCACTTGATGTTTCCAGGGACCTTTGTTCCTGGATTGCAAAAACAACCACTCCCTTCCTTTTTTTTTTTTT